AGTTTAATTCTTAGTCTTTTAAGTCCAAGTGCGGGCTTTGCTTGTACACTCCCAGGCGGAGTTTTGTTAAATCTTTTTGGAATAATAAAGGGTTAGTTACCCTTCTATCTTGTTGTTTCTTGTCACCGAATGCAAGCGATTATTTGCTTATCAGTTCTTAGATTTCCTCACTTCCAACATTAACTTAATTCCAAAGTGAGGTACTCTACATGCCTTCATACGAAATAGTGCTTTTAAAAAAGCAATGGATGGAAGGCTATGTTTATGGTCTTTCCGAAGAAAATTATTAATCTAGTAATTAAAAACCGTTGTGAAGGCCATGGTTTTTCAATAGCTAAAGCTACAGTAGGTAATATTGTCAAGAAGAAAGGGGAAAAATAAAATGTCAGATTTTGGCTTCAAGTGGAAAAGTTTTTTCAAATATATATCCAAGGGGGAAAAAATGGAATGTTTCATATTCGAGCTCGTTTACAAGTTACACATGAAGAAAACCATAAAAATGACAATACAGCCAGACCTTTTGCAGAGATTTGAACCCCAGACCAAGCTATCAGTGTCAGAGACTTTAACGCTTGGCCGCTGGTGGGCCTGTTGTTGAAATAATTCACTCTTCATCTGATCAAATAGAATTAATTTTTGTGTTAGATTCTTCATGAGAACTATTTTCTGAACCACAACTTTCATCATATAATTCTTATAAACATTTACTATTCTTCTTCCAACAGATATATATCTATATATTTTTCATCTCTGCTACGTGGCATAATAAATACAGAAAAATTTACTGATTATAAAAAATGGTCAAAAGCCTCGAGTAATTGCAAGTGAAATGAAGAGTGCTTTGTGACACAGATCAAGGCAATTTTATGTTTGTGTCTTGTCTGAATATCTAAGACACAAACATGAAATTCACTTGACATTTCCCCCTTTGGGAAGGGTAAGCCTCAATTCTGTACCAACAAGCTGCCAAATAACATCTGGTATGTAAATAAAAATAAAACACAAACAAGCAAAAACATCAAGCCACTAGCAGGATGTATTAGACTTCTATTAAACAGGGAAGAACAGTCAAAATAAACACCAGCCATAATTTTAGATATATACATACAAGATATAAGAAAAACATACAAAATACAGCAAATAAATTATTTTGTAAACTTGATATATATATATTTAGAAAAGTAAAAAGGAAAATACCTAGTTTTCGTGCATTAAAAAGTTTTTAACACTTTTTGACCACATAGGTCTTTTTTCGTTTATTCTTTTTTTTTTTACTTTAAGAAAAGTAAAAGTATAAAAATTGTTAAAAATACGAACAATTTCTTTTGTGATCAAACTGACTGCTTCCGTAAATTCTGGTATTAATAGAATATGTGAAGAAAGGTTAAATGAAGATGAGGAAGCAGAAATTTTCAATTGTGATGGCAATGCCTCAGTTGTCAATGAACTAACAGATGGTAAAATCTGTAATATGGTCTTAAATCCAGCACTATCTATGGCAGTATATTCAAACAAATTTAGTAACAAAAAGGTTGTTGAAAAAAAAAAATCAATTGATAATTTAGTATAAATTATCGACAAAATTATCGACAGAGCAATTAGAGAACTTAAGTAATAAAACAAGCAGCTACATCTATCTATAAAATCAAAGAGAATATATTAGCCTAGAAAATTAAACTGCTTAAACAACTTACATTGAAAGGCATATTTAATAAAACATAGTAAATATTAGCATTAAGGTTTCCTCTTTTTCTGTAAATGTTGACTCGCTTTAGGTCATAAATTCTTCTTTATTTCACAAACAGCTATTTCATATTTATAATTTCTACACGTAATCTTGTGAGATTTAAATCGATAATCTAAAATCCAAAACTGCCAATAGATCTATATTTTGAACTTTATACTTAAGCAGTACTAAGATATCAATAAAATGCTTACCTGAATAAAGAATCTCAATTATCAAAAGAATTTGCTAATGTATAGAAAAAACCTTCAATATTTAAGCAGTGTGGGATTGGACTACCTTAGGATGCCTTCAGCTCTAATAACATGAAATTTTATTCCTTAACAGTGAAATTCAAGCCATAATGCTCATAGATGATCAGGCTCTCTCTATATATACATAATATCTCACAAAATTCGCTAAGAACTATCCATCATGCAAAACAAGTCTCATTAAGCCTCCTGACTTGAAAAGAAAACTGAATGCTAGCAAATTATGAAAAGACCTTCTCTCAGATGAAACACTAGTTTCATACTTGAAGTACAAGATGAGAGAACTGATATTTAGTATATAGACACTGTACCTTACTGACATTACATGTTAAAGACTTGCTTAACTTAAGTAAGACTATATTGAAAAGGTCAAGATTAAAACTGAAAATATACTTCCCATTCTGAAAAGATTACATGCAATTACTCAGTTCTGTTTTAAAAACATAAGCACAATTTATAAAATGTATAATACGCCAGGTATCAATTACTGTAATGAGATTTTAATTTAAGCTTTGAATGATGCAATTATAAAAGCTCAAAACTAACAGCGAATTGAGTCCTATGCCTCATAATAAGCTGTACCACATTGTCATATGCAAATTCTAATCTAATTGAGGATGAAATTATAACAGATCCTATTGCCTTGTATAAAAAGCTTGAACGACTAGCAGATAAGGAACTGTTATCAGAAAGATTAATAGAAAAATCTAAACACATACGTGGGTTTTTATTCAACACGCTATGGCTATATTAGAAATCATATTTATGTCTTTGATTTTCTGCATATTAATATTAATCAATAATTGAGGGCAAACATAAATAAAAATGAGATACCCGACTTGCAGATCCATGCAATCAAACTAAAAACAATTAATACCTTTTAAGTATTCAGGTTCTATATAGGGTCAACTACCTCAAATTCTTTTTTTGTCAACCATTCAAGAATATTTTTGAGATGATGTATGTAATCACACTAAATCGCTAATAAGCTGACATTCAGAGGATGCAGTAATAAACAAAATTTTTTAAGATTTTCACACTGGACTTTTAAGTGAAAATTCATATAAACCAAGAAATGTAATAATCTTGCCTTTCTCTAAATAATACTTTCATATTAACCCATAAAATATGAAATCTGGCTGCCATCGAATCATGAAAGTTTGCAGGTATCTAGCCAAAGTTACATTAATTGTTCCTGTGAAATTCTTAAAGAACTGACACCTCTTTATTTAATAAACAAATAAGTATTCAACCTACTTTGTCACTGTGCTTCATTAAAAGACTTCTGACAATATTTAGTTTTGCAAAGGCCTCTGATTTTACCAGAAGCTCTGTTTAGAATGCTACAAGTACACAATTGTTCCAATCTATTATTGCTTTGTTGGCTGTATCCACTTGTTCTTTTCTCTATACAACAGATATTAATTCTCTTGACCAGCTGTAAATGCCGGAATGCTGTCATAAATGTTATTCTACAATTCTTGAACTTCATTTTCCTTTTCTTCAAATGCAAGTAAAAAACATAGCTATAAAAATAAATATTCTTGTTCATAAAAACAAAAGATGGCTTAAAGAGAATCAGGTTTATAACAAAAGAGAGTGCAAATGTTACGAGTGTATTGTTACATCAATTTAATCATAACTGGTGCTAAATCATGCTTGACAACAGTTTTCCATTGAAATACAATGGAATAATATATAAGTCCCTAATTATGTTTAAAAGGTACAGCTGCTGAAAATGAAAAGTATACAATACGAAGAGTGAATTTCATTAATAAAATATGCTGAACCTGAACAAAATCCTCATTCCAACTATGTTAAGAAATGCAGTTTAAGACCTTGCGAAGAATATACATAAATAGCAGAAATATATACTTATTACCTCAGTATTAAATTCATCATTTAGGGGCAAATTTACACTGAGAACTGAGCTGAAAAATTTCAAATGCGTAATGTAATAAAACAGATAAAAACTAAGAACCAAGTTTAAACTATAATAATTAACTATTTTATAATTAAAAGTATTTATATATCTCAATTTAAGGGCTACTGAAGCACTTGCACTAGAACCGAAAAGTGTGTGTATGTAAGATAAAAAAATGAAACAATAGCAACTAACAACAGCTGCAAATGACAGCAAACTGAGACTTCCACTTTACATAATAAAAAAAATTAAATCCTAAACGAATATCTAAATATTTCAGAATTAATGTCTATAAAAACTGCATCCATAAACTTAAAACACAAATTTTTATTTCACAGCGTATGAAAAGTTTTTTCAATAGGTTGCTTGCACATTGGCTTAGAAGAAAAACATTTCCTTTTAATAGTTATATACTATATTAGGCATGATATCTATCAATTTTGAACTAGTAAAATAATAGCTGTACTTCGTAAGAATTCTAACAGTCGAAGAAATTGAAATATTTTATTAGGCTAATTCAAACTGCCTAGAAATAATCACAAATACCCAATTACTATTAACAGTATTTAAACTCTGTTTAAAAACAATAAAATTCAACTGAAAAGAAATAGTTTTATCAACTCTATAATTTTTTTTTTCTTTTAGTACACAGTAAACGAAAAATAAGCAGTATATACTTACTTAAATTGATTATAAAAGATATATGTTTATCAATTATTCAATTTATGTTGAATATTGGACACTAAAATTATACATATGTTGCGATTAAAGTATTAGTTTCATTCCATAACCCATTTAATTTTTAGTGCTACTGCATACCTCATTTTTTAGTCAACACACTTTGAATTCTTAAACAGACCTTTTAAGATTTTGAATTATTTGCTCTTGCTTATGCACAAGCAATTAATAATGAAATCAAAATAGCTTGTGTCAGTATTATGCTTTTAAAAATCATATTCATGAAGCTTACACATGTGAAAATCTAAAATAAGACAGAAGTTTTAAATTGGAAATTTAAGTATCACTGCACTTTGTGATTTGAAAACATGTAACTAAAAATCATTGAAATGCACACAAGAAATATAAAAAAGATCATATATTTTATGAATATTCAAGCAAGAAAATTACATTGAAATTCCCCAATCACTGAAGAAGCTTGTTTAACCAAATTAATTAAAAACAAGATGTGTTTATTTTTTCTGTTTCTTTTTTTCAGCTTCTTCCTCCTTTTCTTTTTCAATGGCGGCAACATATGAACTAACTTCATCAGCATCTAGCATTCTCATAGAATCACCTTTCTTCATAACTGCAACTTCAAGATTCTTTCCTTGAACGACTTCCAGCAATGCTTTAATAGCTAGTTTGATTGTTGATTCGTCTTTTGAGATGATTTCATCAGAATAATTCTTTTCAAGGTATTCTCGAACTGTCTTAGCACTTCTTCCTGTTGAATTGGCTTTCCATTCATGATAGACACCAGATGGATCTGTTTGGAAAAGATGAGGAGTACCATCATAATCAAAACCAGCAATTAAAGCTGATATACCAAAAGGTCTTCTGCCGTTACTTTGTGTGTAACGTTGTTTCAGTTGTGCAATATATCGAGTTATATATTCTAGAGTTACAGGGTCTTCAACAGTCAATTTGTGACTCTGACATTCAACTCTAGCTCTATCTATAAGAATACGAGCATCTGCCGTTAAACCTGCAAAAGCCATGACAACATGATCATCTAGTAAACATATTTTCCTCATTGTTCTTTCTTCTTGTAGTTTTGCTACTGATTTCTTCTCAACAGCAAGCACCACAATTTCTTTTCCACATACTCCTACTGCAGTTGAGCCTTTCTTGACAGCTTCTAAGGCATATTCTACTTGAAACAAGTGGCCATCAGGAGAAAAAACAGTAATAGCACGGTCATATCTAGAGGTACCCATATTTTCGTCAATAAAACTACAAAAGAATTAAATAACAACCTTAAAAAAATATCAGAAACTAAGAAAACACAATGGTATGACTTAACAATTTCGGAACTGGCTTCACCACCGGTGAGGTTAATTGATAGCAGTTAAAGACTTGAGCAAAATATGTTTTTGCTGAGGTAAAATTTCACAAGGAAACAAGTCCGTGAAAATTATTAGTTAAAAGCATAAATACATAAATTTATTAACGTTATTATTGAAATAAATATAAAAAATTGTCTGTCTGTCCCCGATCAGAAGTTCTTTTTAGCGTTGTTGTTTCCTCTGATAAGAAACAAATGTTCAGGAGCGCTAGTTACCGGAACAAAGCATCCCGTTACCTAATTTCTTTTACATTTGCGTTAAGATATTATTTTTAATAACAGTTGTTAATAAATTATTTTTCCTCTCAAACCAAAATTTTGTTTACACCAAAAAAAAAAAAAAAAAATCCTTTGTTTACACCAAAGGATGGTTTTTTTTTGCTTCGTGGGCAAAATGTCTTCATGGATGCAAAATAAGACATAAGTTTATTTTGTCGTCTTCTGTTTGATTAGTATTCTCTGAGTATTAATCATGTCTTCTTCAAGACAAGCTCCTAAAATAAGTATTTTAGACAAACCTTTGAGCAAAGGCAAGGCTGAGGTAAATATATGCATATTTATATAAATATCAGCTGATAGATCAACATGCAGATGTCAAAAGTGTGTTAATACGCGAAAAATTATACATCTTCACTAAATTTTGCTCCTTAAAAAAGAAAATTAACAGTTCGCATCCAGTAAGAGTTTTCGGTCTTTAACGTGAGATTCTTGCAGTCCATTACTTTCAAAAATTCTTTAGGTTCTAGTGTGTCATTAACATCAATTTAACCACTTGTAGACTTTTTAAATCACATCCCACAAACTTTGGGAGCAGTATTCTCGGCTAAAGTGCAGAATCGCCCACTTCTTTATTTGGCGTTTTTTTTTTTTTTTTTTTTTCGCTTTTTACAAGAGTAAGAAGAATTGGATTTTAAGTGAAAATAGGTCGATGTGCACATGGATACCGAGTTAGTGCAATTCTTAAAAACGCGCCAAGCAGTGGGCGATTCTGCACTTTCTCTGTATTCTCTCCATATGTTACATATACCAAACTGTAGACTTTCATTAACTTTTGCTTATTGCTTGCAAGTTGAGCTTTTATAAGCACATAATACTACCTTATTTACATATATAAAGTATGATCAAAGAGTCTGAGACAGGGAGCATATAGGTATATAAACTTGTCTGATTTAAATTTTGCTGTGATCTCCTTCAAAGAAGTCTGCCAGTGTTTCTGTTATTATTCAAACGCTTTCTAGAAGTCTTATTCTTGTAAAGTATTAAGCACCATTACCAGTTTGTTCTGAATCTCTTCGGTGATACTAAAACACCAATTTAAATTTCAGTTTAGGAAAAGGAACAAAGTAACAGCTAATCAAATCTCATGAGTAAGAAAGACAAGTGCTGATCACATTGTTAAGACCTACAAATTCATGTAGTCTTTATGTTTAGTAAGCAGGTGCATTATTGCTCACTGTTCCACTTTGAGATCTATGGTAAAAGCTTAAATGATCTAGTGCATGTGATTACAAAAATGCATGTAATGAAATTTGTGATGTAGATTTTCTAACATGATGCCAGCTTATTTAAGAAAGTTATTGCTTATTGTTACTATGCTTGCATAATTTGTGAATTGCTAACAATTAATGCAATTTCAGAACTTGTTTATATCTGATATAAATTTTACTCAAGATATTATGTTAGTAAATGATGATATATCTGCTAAAAAGAATTGTTTTATAATTTTCTTTTCCGAAGGACTGTATTAAAAGGAAAAAGAGCTGTTGCCAGGGAAAAAGAATTATTTTCTGCAAATGAGAGATTACTATTGATTGGTTACTTAATTTGACTTTTCTGTATCATGAAAAGATTAAGATATTAAGAAAGTGAAATTTAAAATTTATTACTGAATTCAGTGTCATAAAACAATATTGAGGTCAAGTATGTGGAAGATTTTTGCTTGTATGACTAGTAAATACTGTTGATTTGTGTATATATATGTTCATTATGTGCTATTCCTTTAGAGTGGCATCAGTTAAAAATGAAGAAAAAAAATGTGAAGAAAACTATGCTACAACAAAATGCAAATATCGAGGCTCGAGATTTCTAATTCTCGTTTGAATTATCATCACTCATAGCTTTTTTTGCCATATTTCGCCATTTTTCTGAGTACGATGGATTACACAATTTGGCAATTACCTAATGACCAATAGGCTGTCATAAGATTCTTTCAGGACAAAGGAATAAATGATAGCAATAGACTTTGTTCTTAAAATCATCTGATGAAGTTAACTTTTGGTTACAAACAAAGTTACAAACTTTTGGTTACATGAAACAAAGCGCCTATATGGTGTTGTTACTTATGTTCTTGCTGTGGAAGAAAAAAAGGAAAAAAAAAAAAAGAGGGCTAATCTTTGGAATATGGTAACAGGTAGTTTGGCGACATTTTGGTAAGGCAATAAAGGTTACTAGCTAGCACTTTAGCAGTGTACATGGATAAAGAGTGTGCACAATGCCATTTTTGTGCAATTCTGGGAGGTTTAAGTGAAAATAGGTCGACGTGTACATGGATGACACCGTGTATGTGCAATTCTTAAAAACGCGGCAAGCAGTGGGTGATTCTGCACTTTCTCGCAATTTCGCACCTAATCTTCGTCATGATTAAGCACTTTTGTTCCATAAAAGTTCTAGCATAAGCGTAATTCGGCTAGCAGATTGTTGGAAAAAAATGTTAAGTAAACAAACAAACAAAAAAAAGCCTTTACTTCGTGAAAACAAAATGGCGTCCAAACAAAAACTAGCAGGTTGCTGTAGCAGGGTTGGTCGCCAAATTTTCGCCAAAAAAATCGCCAAGTTACCATAATCCAAAGATTAACCAATAAAAGAACCAAAACATGGTTTTAAAACTTGCATCTTCCTTTCCTCAATGTCGTTTGTTTTATCTGTCTGTGGTATCAAGAATTGACAATGATTGAATTTTGTGAACTTCAGTTAGAAATCAGCCATAATATGACAATAGATTGAAATAGATACTTTTAAAGTCTCTTTTCGAAAAGAAAAATACAACATTGGACATGTTCTGGAACAAGGGATATTTGGGGTTTATGCCAGAAAAGCAATGTGGCATTCCCGGCATTATAATTATAATTTCAGACTGCTTTAAAGGATACAAAAAAGAATAATTAAGAAATACTGGATATGAACATTTCACTGTTAATCACAATTGTAATTTTATAGACCCTGAAACTGGATGTTATAACCAAACTGTGGAGCAGTGCTAAATGGCAAAATAAACATCAGGAAGGCACTACTCGCCGCTGTTCAGAGTCGTATTTGATACAATTTATGCGACGTCGGTTACATTCAAAAACTAAAAATTTTCTGTAATATTAAATGGTATTTGTAATTTTATGTCATCTACTTAGATTGAATTTCATTTTGTTATTTTTAATTTATGTGTTGAATATTCTGTGTAAAAATTTACTTTCTTTAAGAAGTTTAAAAAAAAAAATGCTTTTTACAAAACTAATTTCTTTTCAGTCTTTGAACTTTATTATTATTTCATAATTTAATACTCAGAAACAATTGGTGGCCCTCCCCCAAAAAGTGCATTTTAACTGATGCTGCTGTAACGGAATAGTACTATTCATTGTTATTTATTTGATTTAATTTAATTATAGGGTCTGTATGATTAGTAAATACTTACTTGCAGTATTTAAAGAATTATTTTGTTCTTTGCAATTGAAAATATTGTAGAATTATTATGAATTTAATTTTAAAAATTAACTTAAAATTCAAATCCCACTCCTTTAAAAGTTTTTTTTTTTTTTTTCATTAGTTACATCAAACCCATTCCTTTAAAAATAAATAGACCAAAAGAATTGGATATATTTTGCAAAGTTATCTTGCTGCTATCTTGTTGACGTATGGTAGGAGAGCTGGCTGTCGCAGCTTTCTGTCCTGGTTCAAATCCCAGAGAAGGCATGGCTGGTTGTTTGCAATTGTATAGAGTCTTTGTAGTAAGCAAGCACTTAAAATGCTGTAGAGTGAAGGTCTTCTCAAGAGGTTGGTGGAAAGAGATTCTCGGATCAATCTTAAGAGGGATTCTTCTTCAAAACTGGGACAGAGTTCAGCAAATATGCTTTGCCACCTCAGTGCCTAAACCATTAACAGGCGTCATCTTTGCCTTTGACTGTCATAAAATTCAAGGACTTGATTTGATGTTACTGTCACGCGAGTGAAATAAAGTACATCACACACACAAAAGCATTTTCTTAAGATTATCCGGGTAGAGTAGACTTTAAGGTACCCCTTGTATTATGGCGAAGTTGCTGCTTGATTTATTGCCAAGTTTTTGTTTGATTCATGGTAGCCTGAGTAGTTGAATGTTATGGAAACCCTATTGTGACGTAATCGGGTGCATGATTCTGAGAAATTTTGAATCATGGGATGTTTTGTAAGCATTTTTGTGGTGTGTGCTGGTTTGATTCTTTAGACGGTAGAATAGCCAAATGTAGTAAGATTAATTTGAAGTTTCTGTACGATTTGGAGCAAAAGGGAAAAAGAGCTTTAATTGACTGGTGTGTAAATGAAGGTTTACTTAGTAGCCGTTATAAGTGTCCTGTATGTAGGAAGGATATGTGTCTAGTCAAACGTAAAAACCATTTAGATGGATTTGAATGGGTTTGTAGGAAGAAATGTTTAGATGGTCACTATGTGAAGCGTTCGATCAGAAAGAGTACCTGGTTTGAAAAAAGTCATTTGAGTATGATTGATATTTTGATTTTTACGGGGGCTCTGGGTGTACGAAACGAACTCGAAAAATCATGGTAAGTGAATATTTGCTTTTGGTGCTTAAATATAACATGTTTTTCCTTTTTATGTTATTTTATTATTGGTTTAAAATGTATTTTATAGAGATTATGTATTTTTTGCTTGCTATATTTAGAATTTGGTGCTCCTTTGATTCTTTAAGTGAAATATATCGATGTGTACAGGGACAAAGTAAAGAGAGTGCGCAATGCAAGTTTGTGCAATTCTGGGATTTTTTTTTAAGTGAAAATAGTATACATGTATAAAGTTAAATAGTGTAATGTGTTCGCAATGCATTTTTGTCAATTCGGGGATTTTTTTTAAAGTGAAAATAAGTTGATGTTACATGGATACCAAGTTTGTGCAATTTTTGTCTTGGTATTTTGTCTTTGTGTAGTGCAAGCCAAAATAACGAGTCAAAGATTTGCACAAAATCGGTATCCATGTACCGCCAAGTTTCGCCAAGGGGTAAACTATACTTTTACCGATTATCCTTTAACAATTATGTTGCACAAGTTCCAAATAATTTATAATATTTTGTGGAATAATTCTATTGTATTTGTTTTAATGGTTAACTTTTTCTTAAAAACAAATTTATTGGGTACTTTTCCGTTTCACCGGCGCAAATCTTGCCAAGCAGTTTTTATTGGCGACAACATGCAGTACACAGATAAAAAATGTTGGTTCTAAGAATTTTTTATTTTGAAAGCATAAACATTTCAATATCGTTTAAAATTCTGTAAAAACCCAATAAATAAAGCCAATAATAATAATAAATTTGTAAAAAGAAAACAATTTACGAATTTACTATGCTTTCATGGTTCATCATCCTGATTTGCCGGTCCATATCACGTGACCCCAAGTGATCTCGTCTCGCATAAACTATGCTACAAAAATCTAATTCTCTCAGTAATTATTTACATTAATTTCAAGTTAAGTCTTAATTTGGAATACAAGTTTGAATGCAAGACTTATTTCAATTTTTACGAATAGTTTACTCAGAAATTATGTAAAACCGTAGTGCTTTACTTCGCTAGTGCATTCTCATTAGAATTGATGAATTTAACCAGTTTGTGCCAGCAAAACGGAAAAGTACCATTTATTGTTTCTCTCAAATCAATTTCTTGGAAATAAATACTTCTGTATCATAAATCTTTGATTATACTAATTTTTTATTTTATCATTGATATAAGCTTCCTTCTTATATTCAGTTTATTCTTAAGATATCTCTGCACATTTTCTTTAAATAATTTTCATTATATATTCCTAACAATTGCAAAATAAACAGTTTCATTATACTTTTACTCTTATTGCTTTTGTTTCTTACAGATAAATATAAGTACTTATGCTCTCTTGTTTTCGGAAATTGTTCAGTATTGTCAAAACAGAGTTTTATCAGTGCCAGAACTTCAAGCAAAGTAAGTATGTAGCAATTCATAAAAGTTTATTTAAATTGTAATTAAAAATCAAAGAGGTAAGGAAAAGCTAAGAAATATGTTTTTGATTCTTCTTAATTTAGTTGCTGCTTCTTGCGGAAATATTTCTGTATTGTCTTTTAAGTTTTATAGTACGTATTTGTATAATTGATCTTTATGTAGAACAGTTGGTACAGTACCAAGTCCGCCAGACGTCTAATATTCAGAGTAACCTAGCACCCAGAGTAACCTGGGCATAGTATTATTTTTAAGCTGCAGTGATTTTAACTGTAATCACAAGTTTTGCATCTGTTCAATTTAAAGTTTTAAATAAAAAGCTTGTTTAAACCTTCTGCTGACTCAGTAGTTAATGTCGCAGAGGGACAATAACTCGCCAGGTAGTCTTTGTAGGGTTGAAAAATTTCACTTGAATAAGGAACGAAACCCTACATATTTTAGAGTTTAATCTAAAGAAGCTGCAAGCTCCATCCCCCCTTTATAATCCATTAGAATTTCTTCTTTATCTTTAGAAGTTGAAGCATTGACTTGCATTTCAAAAATGTCTATCTACCATTTAGCCTCAATTTCTTCTTTGATGTATAAAGTTCATGTTAATGTTTTTTATCTCATTTTGACTCAGCTGTAGATTTTCATTTTCTGTCAGAATTGAAATTTATTATGTGAATTTCGTTCAGCTTCCATTTTTATTAAAACTTTACTATATTCTTATGCACACTATTTCCATGCTTCTTCATTTATTCAACCATATCAGCAACATATTCTTAATTCAGCTACTTATTTTGATGAATAAATAAATGCTGTCATAAGTATTGTATGGCAACAGTGCAAAAATTTAAATGATTTAAATGATTATAAAGATTGTAATAACTGCTTTAAGACATAAATATAGTAAATCAGTATTGATAATATCTTTGAATGTTATGAGCAGCCTCAGGACATGAATTTGTTGCATGCTGTTTTTTTGCATAGACAGGAAATGGGGAAGGGGATAAGAAATTCGATAAATCACTTAAATGCAGAATCAAACCTATGTGATAATGATATGGTTAAAAAGGATAAAAGGAGTGATTGAGAAATGGCTTTGTTGTTGTTTTCCTTAAAAAAAGCAATTTTTATTTTCCTGTAAGAAAATGAAATTTAATTATTTATAGAATTATTTTGTGCATAAATTATTTTAGACTGAAATACGACGTTTTTATGATCACAAGCTTGATAATCTTGATTTACTTAAGGATAATTGTTATTGTTGTTGTTACTTATGTTTACTTGTCTGACATAGTCAGCCACAAAATTCTTCGTGGTAAGAAGCACAAGATTAGGCCTGCTGTTGGCAACAGCAACTTGAGCACAATTCAGTTGACAGTGCAGTTTAGCTCAGTTCTGCCCCCAATTTTGATAGAAAGCAGCCTGGGGGACGGGTCTGAGGGTCTCCCACTCCTCTCCCCTTCCATCAAACCACATGAGAGGACTTTCGGCTCGCCACATTGTTGCATGCTATTTAGAGTGCCGCCATGCCTATGCATATTTTGAGTGCCGCCATGCCGCACTGACACTATACATTTACAAACATCCATGCTTTCTCTGGGATTCGAACCAGTGCCCTTTGGCACAGCAGTCAGCAATGCTAGCCACTATACCGGTTGTGCGGCTAAGAATAATTGTCTTGGAGAATAATACATTAAATATCAATATTGGTGATTATAAATAAATGCCACTGACTTTCAGAGATGATCACCATGAAGGGAATTCACTGTATGTACTATTTTTAATGTATATTTTCATAATGCTTAAATTACCTAATTTTTATTTAGCTTTAATTGCATTAATGGATGTTATATTGTAATTTATGTACATGCTTTCATCACTCTATCAAACAGTTAAAATACAGTCCTGTTTTTGTTTATCAATATTGTTTATCAGTACTGACTGAAAACCCGGTCAAAGTTTTACTGTTTATTAAAAGCTGAATTCTTGTACACATTTTTTGTAACAAATTCTACATCAAAATAAAGTATTGCTTGATTTGCTTATAATTTCTGGAAAAATATATATAAAGCACTCAAAGTGGCCAAATAATGGGCAGCATAGAAAAATAATTAATGGGGATTTAATGGATATCTCACTGAATATATGAAGCCAATAATTTAATTATCCAACAAATTGAATATGTATAAAAAAGAAAAATTTCCCATTTAAAATATTCAAGACTTTAAATTTTATTAATTTAAAACATTAAGGCAAAATATTTTTAATTAAAAATAATTGAGTTAAACAAATCTATTTCTTTCAAGCAAAATATGTCAGTTTCACCGAGTAGCAAAAGATTTCAAACCTTCATAGCTAGACATTTATGCATTTTTTTTGGCATTTTCAGAATTGATAAAACTATGGTATAAACATAGTAATTGTTCAGTATCTTTTTTTGCAAAATTCTGTAATGCCTCTGTCAAAAGTTATTTCCACTTTTGAAGATAGCCTTTCTCTATATATGATATTAGGTGGTGGAGGAAGATCAGATTTTAACATGATCAACATTTTTATTTTCATCATTTTGATGTTCTAAATCTGTTCATGATATTTTATTTTCTAAGAGAGAATTTTTTTAGGAATTTCTTTTATTTTCATTTTCAAGAATAAACTTGCTCAAGAACTCAATTGCTTATTGCAGGGTTTTTTTTAACTTTTTTGAGTTGCGACCCCCTTTTATCATAGAGATTTTTTTCGTTACCCCCCAGGACCCCATAATATTTACCAAAATTTTCTGGGACCCCATAAGCATTTTGCAAATCCAACGCACGTGTGAGTGAAACTGTCAATTTTTTCACTTGTATTGTAATATACTATCGCAGTTTTGGGTCATTAACTGTAATTTATAATTTTAAGACATAGAACAATGTGAAAATTTTAAATAAGTAACAGACGAAATGACAGCATCATGTGCAAAGCAAGGAAAATGAATGTTTATATTATAAAAAGAATGTGTCGGAACGTTTTCGTTTTTTTCTTTGTCTGTATTGTCTTATCTTTATCTATTTTCAGATATATTGTGTAAAAATATTTGGTAATTGTAAAATTATTATTATAAGTTAAAGAAATATCAAAACTGGTAAAATTTTTCGTGACCTCCTGCTGTAGGTCCTGTGATCCCCAAGGGGGTTGCGACCCGCAGTTTAAGAAACCCTGCTTATTGCAAACTTGTAATTGTGATCTTTCAAAAGTTGTTTAAAAAAGTGCTAGCTCATCATGATAAGAATACATTTTCCCTTTGTACAAAAAGTTTTTTTTTTTTTTTAAATATGAACATAGAAAGTAATTGAAAGTGTGTTCAAAGATCATAATAAATATTGTAATGCATATTATTATGCAGAATATTAACTAATTTATTTTTTACATAGGTTAGGTGAGTTAGGTTATCATGTTGGCCAAAGAATGGTTGATACTCTGTTTGTGCGAGAAAGAAATTTTAAAAGAGAAACAAAGCTGATAAATTTAATTTTGATTTTATTTTAAAAAACTATTATATTTAAAAGGCATATTTATTTTTAAAATTGTTTTAAATTTTTTAGAATAAAATTTTAAAATGTTTTTTCTATAAAAATTGTATTTCATAAGCTGTAAACTTGAATAGATATTAACAAAAATAATCATTTTAAAAGTTAAATTTTGCTAAATAAAATTAATATTTTGCCAAAATTTTATTTTAGAACCTTAATGTGAATTGGGCTTTTGATTTTAAAACATTAACTTGATATGAAAATTAATTAAAAAATTGAAATGGACTTTTAGAATATTAGAAATTGCATTTCTTTAGAATTGAATACAATTTGAATAGGAAAAGTATAAATTTTATTTAATAACAATTCAGAATTAAGAAATTTTTTAATATAAATGAGATATTTGTCCTTGTGTAATTCAAATATGTGTATGACTATTTTGTAAGTACTCTGTCAAATGAAAGGGATTGAGCACAGAGTAGGTTTGTAAAGTTTGTACAAACAGCATTATTTTGGGGATTTGAAGAAATTTATTATGTGTTTTTCACAGAGAATGGACCACATTTGCATTAATTGGAAGTTTCATTGTTCCCATTTAACTGTTTTGGTTCAGCATTTTTGTTTGTTTCTTTTTTTTTTTTTGTTTAGAGGAAGTGTGTAAATATATCATAACAAATACCAAGCTTTTGTCATGCAGATGTTTTGTCACATTAATTTTAATGTTAAAAATGTTACTTCATTTCAAATAAAGGAGATCATGTTTATTTTCTTCCATTCTTAGATTTCAAAATCTTGCATTAAAAATATATATATATATTTTGTCATTTAAATAACAGCATTTCAATATTAGTTGTACTTGGAAGCTCTTCCAGCATTTTAATTCAGACTCACTTGCACTGAAGATAAACTTTTAAATAAGTTTAAAACATCAGGAAAGGAGGAAAAGATAAGTCATAAGAGGAAGAAAAGCATGCTAGTTTGCAATTTAAAAGTTTAACATGAAATTGATGTTAATTTTATAGAAACTGTAAACATTTCAATAGGCTGCTTAACTGTTCCTTAAACTGCAGAAGTTTTTACTATGAAACCAGTATCAGTGTAAGATTGAATTTTGATTAATTTGAAAAATCGTAACTTGTGCTGTATTCGGATATGTTGGAATTGTCAGAAATATGGAGGAAGGGACAGAGGGAGTAAGGTTGTTCAGATTTTACAGCTACTTGATGTAGATAAATTAATGGCATTTGTATTTATGTAGAAGACTAATGAATTATTTTATAAATGAAGATAATCATTAAAGCTGGATTGTTATTAAATGACTATCAATTGTATGGTTATTTCATTTTAGAAATTTTAAGTGAAGTTGTATTGTTGTTTGTTTGCTTTGTTTTTGTTAGTGTGTTTCCTTTTAACAAATATTTAAGAAACTAATTTAATTGACAGCACATAATTGAATTGCATTTTAATTTATCATTTGGTTAATTTTAAATTGCGAGTTCAAAATTTTTTAAACTGTTGATTTGGTTATATTTGTTGTATTATTCCTATCTGTATTACTCTTTTCAATTATCTGCAAGTAATTTAAATTTTAAAGAACCAAATTTTAATTGAAACTTGAAGACAGCTTTCTTTTGTTATCGGGGGGGGGGAGAAGTGAGTTTTATCTAAGATTTTTGTTAGCTTTCCCCCTTCTTTTTCAATGCATTTTAATCAGGACATACTGTTTTTAAAAATATGATGTTCATTATTTATTTATTTATTTTGTGTATGTGTGTTTTGCAAATGAAAAGAGTAGAGTCAAAGAAGCCTTAACAAGCCTAAGTTTTTATAATAGAGAATGAACCATTGGTTAATAAATTTATATCAATACCAAAGGATAAAGGTAGATATTATGCTATTTTATTATTAATTAAAAATTTAGAACTGCATTTTATAATGAGCATGTTTTACTTTTATACTGATATTTTTAAATAACAGAGGAGTATTTAAAACTTTGTTTTCTGTTCCATTTATCATGCAATATGAAATAACTGTCAGCTTATTAAATATGGCCATATTGATATTTAGCAATTTATTAATTTAGAAGCCAAATAACAAAAATCAGCGTTATATTTTCAAATTTTCACAGGACTAGTTTTGGTGGTTTTACCGAACCATCAACCTCAGTTACAAAAGCACAAATGATTTGCACTTTTGCAGCTGAGGTTGATGGTTCGGTAAAACCACCAAAACTAGTCCTGTGAAAATTTGAAAATATAATGCTGATTTTTGCTGTTTGACTTCTAAATTAATATTTGTTCGGCATGTTATTGTATCTTAATTTAGCAATTTACAAAAAATGTCTTTCAGTTCAGTGTTCAGATAAATTTAAGTGAATTCTGTAATGCTATACAATATCCTGTGAATAAATGGCACACTGGATGATCTTTCTGCAGGAATATTATGCATATCAAAATCAGCATATAATCAATAAGACAATTAGGAAATATATTAGTTCATTATTTATATGCATTTAGGAAATATTGACATTTCTGCTATATTTCTTAATATTTACAAATTGTGGTACTTTTTGATTATGTGCCCCCCCCCTGAAAAGTCAGGAAACCATTGCCAACTTTGCAGAACTCTGGGAAACCAATTGATAATGTAACCAATGAGAGAAATGTTTGTTTGGGTATCCTTATGTCTTTTTTAATTGAATTAGTAAGATCTAGCATCCCCTACTTTTTAATATTTTTCTCAATGACTTGTATCCTATGTTGAACAATAAATAAAATGAACAGCTATTATAAAAAAAATATGGCTATCTTGAAATCACTTTTAAACCCACATTTTAACACTCTGCTTGCAATTTTTCCCACTGCCTTTCCAGAAAATTCAGTCATTTAATAAGTACAATTCTATAAAACAAATATATTCAATGCAAAAAGATATACAGGTCTAATCAGAGAAATTACAATTAAATTTCAAAAGTGCAAGTACACATGTGCTATGGACATACCTCGATTGCCACTTAAATATGTTTTGGTGACTTCATGTGTTGCCACATGAATACATTTTGATGACATGGTGTGTTTTGCATTATCAAGTTTCGTGACTTTTTGATGAGGGATGCAGGTAATTTGGAAATATCCAAATAATTTGTGCAGAACTGTAATTTAAGCAAGCATACAAAATTATTATTTTAGAAAATATAAAAAAGTATTTTCTTATTGAGTACCTATGTAAAATATCTCAATTGTATTGTAGCAGTAATTTAAATTATTTTAGCTCCATATTAATGATAAAAGTAAACTAGTATTTAAATTTTGAATTAAGAATATGAATTTAAAAATAAACTGCTGATAAATGCAAAAAATAATTAGTCATGCTAATTTTTATAGGGTATGCAATAATAGAAAATAAATGTATAGAATAAGGAAACCTTTCAAGTTTTAACCATTAATAATCAAAACTATTATGTATTATATAGTGCCTCAATCAAAAAATATTTTTACTATTAAAAAGTCAGTCAGTTATGTATAAAATATCACCTTTTGTTTTTAGATAAGTGTTAGGAATTTGAATTAATCATTGGAAATGGGTGAATTTTTTCCGTTAACTCAAAATTATACACTACATAAACTGAAAATTAATTTTAAAAGGCAACAGAATATATATTAAAAACTAATGATTTATCTAAATTAAAACATTTTCAAATTCATGATTAGTGATTAATTCTAAAAAGAGTTGCACAGAAAATGTTAAATAATTTTAATAATGATATAAATTAGTTTCTATGATCAAAATATGTTATAAATATATTTTTTTGTTCTAAAGTTTGTTTATATATTAGAAAAAATTACATTTAAACTTGCTGTGCTGAAATTTCTGAAAATCAAAATTTTGTTAGTTTACATCCAGAAGTGAGCATGGACTTGAGTTGTTTGTGGATTAAGCAGTCACAGATTGTCAGAATTCTACTTACGTTTATATTAAAATTTCATCTTATAAATACGCAATTTTTTTTTTTTTACTTCAATGCTGCATGAACTTCCTTTTAACTGCTTTTTTTTTAAACACAAATTTGATAGGAATACTTGTATGTTCCACTTTTATTCTAAAACACGGGTGTCTAAAGAGCCGCCCAAAAGTGTGCAAATGCAAATTATGAAAGTACTTAAATTTATAAATTTTATTAAAAATAAATGTTTGAATTTAAATCATATATAATTGATTCATTGGTATTTATCTCTACATGTAATAAAAGAAAGAGTGTGTGTGTGTGTGTGTCTTTTGTTCGCGCTGTGCGTAAGCTAATAGACCCACGGCTACGAAATTTGGTACATAGGTGTGTCTAGACAAGAGCCAGTGCACCTCGAAGCGATTTTTTTCGAAATTCGAATCAGAAATTTTTTTATTTTATGTTTTGTGACGAAATCGCGTCATTTTGAGACATAATGGGCTATAGGAAAGCGAGATTTTACTCTACACACTCCATTTTCACATCGTCATGAAACGTAGGCACTTAGCTATTTTACGAACTTAAAATAAATTTTGTGATTCAATAAATCAATTAAATACAAATTTATTTAACAAAGTGAGCTTAACACCTTTTCAATGGGATTTTTTCTAAAAATTTTTATTTTTAAAAATGTACAGTTTATTTTTTAAAAAAATTTTTGGGTACGTTAAACTTTCATCCTTGCGACTGCTTTTACAAAAAGAATTTTGGAAAAATGATAATATTTTGTATTTAAAAAAAAAAAAAAATTAAGTGAAGCTTCCGAGTACACATCTAACATCTTTAAAAATGTGATTTTGGCAACATTTTTTCTTTCTCATTGTTATTGATAGATTTTTGATGAAATCACATCATTTTGAATAGTTTCATTCTTTTAGAAATATGAGTTTGGCAACAATTTTTCATCATATTTCTTATGTTACTGTTTTTAAGAGATTGGCATATTTCATTGTCAATTTTTTATGAATATAATTCATTTTTATTGATTTTTTTTTTGATAAAGTTGTTCTGCAGAGTAAAATTCTGCACCAAATTTTTTGTTTTTTGAGTTTTTTTCATGTTATATTTAATAAATAAAGGTAACACACAAAACGTTAAAAACCGCCCCTTTGGATGTAATTTAAAATATGAAACCTTTCAAATTTTTTTCTAATCCAAAAGAGCTTTGTCCCCAAAGGACTAAAGGACTTTTTTTTTTAAATGAAGTTGTTCTGCAGAGTAAAATTCAGTGCAGTTTTTAAATTTAACGTTTGTTGTTCCCTTCAGGCATTTTCTGGTACTTTTAAAAGCCAGACGAAGGCTGGCAGCGTAGCTGCTAGTTTTAAAATAAAAAGTTAAATATAAACCTCTTAGTATGTGTTATGTTCACCTCTTTGTGGAATGGGCTGGAAATCAAAACTCTACACAATAAATATCATAAATATTTTACTCTTGCTCCAATGTACAAACTAGAAAAACAATTCACTTATATCTTTAGAACACAATTACAATAAAAATAATCGCGTGTTGCCACATCTCTGAAACACAATCGCGGAAAACTTCATTAATTTAAAAGTAGAAATAAATTATTTTTAGCTTTATACGAATATCAGGAGCGCGCTTTTTCGGCGAGCAATGGATGGCGTAACTCACTGGGCCCCCATGACCCCGTGATCAGCTCAGCTAGATATATAAACTGAAATATAATGCAACACATAAAAATTAAACAAACTGTAAATATAATTATAAAACATAGAAAGCAATAATTCAATCAGTCATTTATAGGAAGTCTGACCAGTTTATGTATTAGTCTTTTCATTTCACCCGACGCAGTTTTTAAGTTGACTGACCTTACTCTTTGGTCAGTTCCCTTATAAGTGCAAATTACTTTTGCCATCTTCCACTTAAGTGCTGGCAAGTTCTCATCCTTGATTAGCATTAAGTCATTCACACGTAAATCAGCACTGGGAAGTTTCCACTTGTTGCACACTTGCAACTGATTTAAGTAGTCTTTTGACTATGATTTCCAAAACGATTGGGAAATCTGTGTGACTAATTTCCACCGTTCATGGATGGGAATTTTCTCATTTGTTACATCAGGCTCAGGAACACTTTTTAACTCGGAACCGATAATAAAGTGACCCGGTGTAATGACAGAAAAATCATTTGGGCCCTCAGAAGCAGCCACTGAAGGACGGGAGTTAAGTATGGCTTCAATCTCCACTAGACACCTTGAAATTCCTCTTGTGAGAGGATGTCTCATGTGAAACTTCATGGATTTAACGGCAGCCTCCCATAGGCCTCCAAAATGAGGGGCTGATGGAACATTCATTGTCCATTTAACGCCTTCGTTGGTCAAGTAAGTACCAAGTGCCTCCATCGTACATGCTTTTAAGTAATTCTTTTCACCGATAAAGTTCGTTCCACAATCACTGAATATTTCAGTGGGCTTTCCTCGTCGTCCTATGAATTGTTTCAGAGCTGCAATGCATGCGTGAGCACTAAGGTCACTACTTTACTTGTTTCTAAGAAAGGAGCCAAAATCCTATTCCCCCTCACATTTCTTATAAACCTTAAACCCCAAGCAACAACTCTCTGCAACTTACTCCAAACTGAAAATTTGTTCCAAAGCTGCTCAACTAATTCCAACTGAACTACAAAACATTTGACAGAATTTTTTTACTCTCTTAGTATTTCCGCACTGTCTACATTTGGTAACCCTCTAACCCAATGTTTAGGCCAACTCTCAAAATTTTTTCGTAGCCAAATTGGACCTGACCACCATTTTTCATTAAGTACCAACTTCTCAGCCGAGATTCCTGTAGTAAGCAAATCTGCAGGATTATCGTCAGACGGACAATAATACCAATCACTTGGACTCGATCTTTCCTGAATTTCCA